TATATATATATATATATATATATATATATATATATATATATATATGATAAACATGAAAAACATGTTTGTTTAGTTATATACCTTTTCCATTTTGCTTTTTTTAAGTTATTTTTGTGAAACACAATAGAATTATGACTTTTCTAAAATGAAAAGTTTTTATTTATTCATAACTGTATAAAATTTTAACATTGTAATTTCATGTTACAATTTTAAAAACCGAGTTTTTAGTTGAACCGGTTTGTTTGGTTAGTCTGGTTTTCAGAATTTTTATATTCTTTTATTTTACTGCGTAGCATTTACTTTTTTTAGTAATAAAACCACACTACTTGAACCATATAGAAAAAGTTATAAAATATCTAATGCATAGGAGTTTTTTTGTTATTTCGAAGTCTATTAAGTTGGCTAACATGAATATTAAAAATCAAGTGAAATGTTATATGACTAACTCATATTTAAATGATTCTCACGTTCACTTTTTAAAATTGCAAAGAATGATTATCAAACAAAAGATGTACACAATGATAAAAGAAGTCTAGATAGATGTGAAAAAACCACCAAAGTTTGTTATACAAATTGTCTCATTTCCATGTGTTTTTATTCAATTTAACCGGTTAAATCGAGTGTTAACGATACAATTAGTTCAACCGGTTTTTGTAAAAACCGGTCGGTTCGTTCCGATGCAGAAATCGACATAAACCGACGCTAGTTAAACCATTCTTTTTCGCGGTTTCCGATTCAAATCGATTTTTAAAACATTGATATATATGTTCAAATATTAAAGTGTTAACTGTTTTAAAAAGTGATATACATTTTTTATTTTTTACTTAATCATTTAATACATAACATTTCTTTTTTATTTTTTCATCAAATTTGTATTAAATTAAACAATAAAGAATTTCATAAATAACTAAATATATGATATAAACAATTATAGTTGTTTATTTTAGAAAAATTACCGAGACCGATTTGATCGGATTTCAGCCATTCCAATTCTTTTGACCATTTTTCAAAAAGTCGATATGTTGCAAGACTGAGTTGAACGAGTTTTACGACACTGATTCTAGCATAATGTTATTCAACAGTTCTTGACAGTCATATTAACACATAATTTAATTATATAAATATAAAAGAGTTGGACAAAAATGATGGATCAACCCAACCCCTTTATGGCAATGTTCTGGAGGCATGAACATCAAACATTTGGGGCTCAAAGACAGCCATTTAACTTTGCCGACATAGAAACATGACTACCAGTCTACCACCATTGACGTTGTTTCAAGTCCTTTCATATGGGAATTCAATATATATA